GCTGTATGAAAAATGCATGAATGCATTTTTTTCTCAGGAAATATAAAATTAAACAACACATCTCTGATAAAAAAAAAACATATATATATATATATACAATTTTATTTTTTATATATATATTTTTTTAAACGATTACTGGATGCCACTCACATGCATCGTGAAAGCACTCAACTCATGATGCGATACGATTCATGATACTGATTTCCCGATACGAGTTTTTAACAAAATGAGATTTAAGACAAATTATAAACGAAATGGTATCCTGTTAGAAATTTAGAGGCAACCACGGCATTTTAATCACAATCTAATCAAAGATGCTGCATACATGCAGCATGAGCAGTTTTTGATTTAAATTAAATTGTATCATTTCAAAATTTGAAGCAAAAACTATACTACGTAAAACATCTGCAGGAAACAGAAACAGCAGAAGCTCTGAAAGAGACAGCAGGAGGCGCTCATGGAACAGCAGCGATACAGCGTTTTCTGGGTTACCGCTGTAAACAAAGCAGTGCAGTGCTTATAAAATACAACTTTAATAAATGCATTATACAGAGGCAAAAGAAAAAAGAAAAAAAAACTCAGTTCCCCTCAGAGATACAGTCATATAAAATTATTTTTTTTTATTTTATTTTTTTATCGATTTTCAACTGGCTCGGCGTGCATCATTACATCTCTAGTCATGTGACCAAGATGTAGCATAGGACTGTGAAATATTTATCATGGAATGCATACTGTATACTGTTTATTTAATAGTAGGCAGAGTAGTATTGTACACAGCCGGTATGCATAACAAAATTCTTCTACTTGCAAGTCTTGTAAAAAGCATCCATCTGGACCACATACATTTTTAATACCACAAAAACGTAGCAAAATGATTCATTAGGAATTGCGAGGTCATGTGACTGAACCCGGTTTCTTGTACTCCACCAGCTGTGACTATAAAACATGAGATCCCCTTCAACGCCTACATGCTGAAGGAGGCTGTGGAGGATTATATGGTTAACCTGGCCGTGGTTATAGAGGATGTGGAGTCTCAGGAGAGAGTGCTGGCATCAGAAGAGTTCAACATCCGCAGCCCTGCTCTCAGTGTACAGGTATATAGTGGCCCAGCATGGACATTTAGACTAGCTTTAAAAGAAACATGACCTCCTCTACCCTTGACCCCTTTTGTAAGAAACAACAAGACGTTGTTTCATGACTAAATTAAACCATTTATAGATTTTTTTATTATCTACTCAATAAAGACATCACTCCAAGATCATAGAGATTATGTGGGAGAGGTTTTGGTAACACTTTACACTTTATAAAGCCTTTATATTCAATACATTATAATGCATTGTATGATCTCATGAATAATTGTGACCACAGTTATAATATATTACATATATATTATGAATACCTTTAGAATACATTACACATAAAGGTTTGAAATTATTGCTTTTTACTTATTATTTTAATGTCACTATAATATTTTTTTTTTTTTAACTTGATTCACTCTGAATTGTGTATTCAAGGTTATTTAGGCACCAGCCTGAAAATAAAGGATTTCGTAACATCTTCCATGCATTGTACTTGTTTGTGATCTGTTCACGTGCATTTTCCAGCAGAGGGCAGACTTGCTTCAGTGAGTGCAAGCATTTCAAATACTGACATGTTGAAAAGGACACATTACAAATATTTTAGAAAAATACTGACAAGTCCCTGCTCAAATTAAAAAGACCACAGATTACATGAGTGCTGCTTTACCTTTGGGCACGTTTGTGTCCAAGGTTTGATTTTTTGGTAACATTTTTACTTGTTTTGGTTACATGTGACATTAAAACTCTCAGCCCCCCAACTAAAAGCCTTAAATCTTAAATACTCTCACATCATTAATCCTTATGAGAATCAGTAAATGTGATGCTAATACTGCAAATTATTGGCGAGACACTGCAGGTGAATAGGGTAAAAATATTAACTAATAGTTATCACCTTACTTACCCAGTTAATTGATTACATTGTGATAATTGAAAACATTTTTTATGCTACAAGTTTTCTAAAATGTTATGTTTCAATATGCAAATGAGGCAATATTTAATGAAATATGCGCTAATTTGCATACATTTCTATTACAAAAATCTGAACACTGGATCAAGTCAGTTTCATAATTTTTTTTACATATTAGAATGAAATGTTTTTACAGAGGGAATTTTGGGTATCGCTTTTTGTCACTCCATAATTCAGAAAAAATCTTTGAACAGCCAGAAAACAAAATATTTTCACAATTTTGGGGGGGGAATAAAATGTATATAATCAAGCAAATTAGATACGATCAAATCCCTCTGTAAAGACCTTCAGAATATAGACAGGGATAAAAATGTAAAGTCTGGTGTGTGTAAGTGCTACTGAAGTGGAGATTTATGGCTCAGTGTAGGAGAAAAAACTCTTTTTGAGAAAACGGCCTTTAAAACGGTTTAGCAAGGCCGTTATAATTCACTTCAGTCTCTTGAGCATCAATGGCTTTGTTAAAGGTCTTTATGAAGAATGAATCATTTCAGAAACCTGCATTGAAGGTGTATATTTACATAGGGAAGTGCTTCAAACTAGTAACGGTGCCTGAATTACTAACCTAGATTATTTCTACTAACAGCCTATAAACTGCCTGACCCTTCTGGAAAGTCGAAGAAAATCTTAGAAAGTCTAGTCCTGTTGTTACATCATGTATTTTAACACGACATGGGACACTTATTTGTTCAGTTTGTTTTTTAAATAAGATTGAATAAACTCAAATGACAGTAAAATGGCTTTTGAAATCTAACACCAGTAAAAAAAAACTACAAAAAACCCCCATTAAATTAAATTTTTGCAAAAAAACCCCATTAAATTAAAACATTACATAAAAAAATAACTAATACAAATGACAAAAAAACCACTAAAACTTCAACTAAAATTAAAATGGAAAATATACAAATAAAAATTCAAATGCTCATGTTAAACATTAATAATAAAGTGTTATTTGAATGATACACTCTCAGAAAAAAAGTTACAAAAGTTGTCACCTTTTCAAAAAGTGCACCTATGTACTTTACCTCTAAAAGGTGCATATTAGTACCTTAAATGTATATATTAATACCTCTAGCTAAGATGTGTATCCAGCTACTCCAACCTTAAATGCTGTTATACAACCCTTTCCCCTGGTGTCAATCCAGATGAATGGTTGATCTTTTTGGATCTAAACTTTGCTGGACAGCGGATCTGCTCCTTCTATTTCTATGTTTAAATCCTCTTTGAAGACCTATTTTTATTCTTTGTGTTTCAACTCTTTTTGAGGGTGTACATTTTCATTTGTCCACTTGGTTGTGTTTTATATTTAGTCTAGTCTTTTATTTTGTTTTAATTCTGTTGTATATTTCCTGTACAGCACTTTGGTT